CTTTCTTTCTTTCTTTCTTTCTTTTTTTTTTAGTGTGGTTTGGAGTAATATTCATAAGACACGGGCTATATCAGGACGGCGTATTTAAGTTTACAGTCTACATTCCTGACAATTACCCCGATGGGGATTGCCCAGTAAGTAGCTGTGGGATGAATCCTCAGTATTACTTTAACGTGGCCACTGACCAGCCTCAGTATTCATGTTATCTTAATTGAATGTAATCATTGAATGCTTGTGTTTATTGCATTCTTTATTTATGGAAAGCATTGTTATCCTATCCTATTCTTCAGCCAAAGAAATTTCTAAATTGGCTTACCTCTGACCAGTGAAAAGAAAATCATGTCTATATGTGTTCCCTTGTTGAATGACACAACATAAAAGGAAAAAGGGATACGGAGGGAAGAGGAGGAAAAATGAGGTGGTTTGGAGAGTAAACTCAAGTAATAATTCCTAAAATGTAATCATGGCTTCTAAAAAGGCAGCTTTTGGGAGAGGAGAGATCTGACAGTGTAACTTTGCTTCACTGCTATGGACCAATAAATGTTAGGTGGCATTTGAGGAAGGGAAAGTTGGATGGAGCTAATCTTTCAGTGGATTAGATGAATATGGGATAAGCAGTAGCCTTTCCAAGCTATAACTTTACTCACCAAGCCCAAACATGCAAATAAACTTTCTGTCTTAAATGTTTCCCATTTATAAAGCACTTTGAAATGCTCAATAAAGCTTCTTGTGTTTTTTTCTTGTTGAGACCCATTAAAGGGAGTGGGCTACATGTACTGTACGGTATCTAAATAAATAATATAGATATTCGAGGCAGAGAAATAATGCTTTGCGAATTGATGACTGAGATGAGATTTGAACCAGTGATCCTGTATCTGAGCTCATGAATATAGTTAAGATTAGCTTGCTTTTTTTTACTAGAAACCTTAGATTTCCTACCCAGGACTTTACTGGTTAATCCTTGCTAAAACGTAAAGCATTCTAAGTTCAGGAACTTGTTCTGCATGCTAGACTCAAAGTATTCTTATAAAAATCTACTCTTGTTTACTTGGAGTTTTCTTCATCTTAGGTGGCGAAAAGGAGACATGTTTTTCTGCATTTAATTATTAAGAGTCAGAAATCCTGGTGGATTTATTGCAGACCACCCAGAGATTCACCTTCTGATATTTTCAGTCTTCATCATTATACAGCATGAATTCTAAAGCTCACAGTTCTTTGTAGCCAAGGGTGATTTCTTGCTTTTCTGATGGAAGTCCAAGCTTGTTAGTGACAAAATTTTGAAGTCACCCAAAACATTGCTAAGGCATCAGCCATTTGCCTTCCTTCTTGTATTGTGTAACAATGAAATGCATTATAGATTTGTCCCCCTTAGTTCCTGAACTTACAGCACTGCCTTGTTTACCATTTCTGTGTTGACTCTGGCAGATCTCAAAAGCCTAAGAAATCCAGCCAAACTTGGAGATTTTTATGGCACCAAAGTTACTGGCAATAAGTCTTTAGCTTCATGGAACTACTTTGCAGGGAAAATTAGATCCCTTTTAATTCAGAACAATATTGGGCAGTAACCAAGCAATTTTATAGTTACAATTATATATAAAACATGAATAACTTAAAATGCAATAACTAATACAGTTAAGGGCAATAATGCGTCTAAACTTTTTCAAAAATACTGTAACTCCTGGTGGCCTAATTATTGCATTTTCTTTCATACTCATCTTGTGGAACTAAACTTTGAAAAATTAATTCAGGATTTGTGGGATGCAGGAAGCAGCTTATGCTGTTGCTGAAATTTGATTCGCTGGAGTGCAGATGTATATACACAGAGGAAATTTTGGATGCATGGGTCAGGCTGTTTAGATGACTTATGTGACTGCAAGGTTTCTGAGCAGTACTGGGGTGCAGACAAAACTCCGGGGTGGGGGGGCTGCTTCAGTTTATTGGCAGATTTCCTATTAATACGACTAGGAAAGGTCATAGCAGGTGGCAACCTCGGTTGACCTTAAGAAAGGCCAAGCAGGTTTGTACGTGGAAGGAAGCCATCAGGAACTCGCAGGGCTGTGGGCTAGATTGGGAGGACAAAATCCAGTATGGGAGAAAGTAATGGTAAGCCAATTCCAACTTGTCTATGTAGATACCAGGAGCTGAGCTCAGCTTGAAAGAAATATCCCGTTTAGGCCACGGATAATCCTCCTAACCCTGCTGAATTGCTCTCGTGGTAATTGGGGTTGCTATAAACTACTAAACCTTTCAGAGTATTTCTGCCTCTCTTCCCCACACCCTAAGGAAAATCTGGGATCAATTCCTAAACTCTTAAGAACTCCTTGAGTTTCTGCTTGCTCACAAATCACAATTATATAATTGCGTCAATTTGATTATAATCTGCTCGGAGTGCATTTGGCTAGGAAAATGGAATGAATGTGTGCAAAAATCAGCTAATGCCTGGCCTGGTTGCCCATTGGGTGAAATGTAGCCCAATAGCCTACTGAGAAATTTGAGTTTTTAGGGTTGACATTCCTTGATTGTTTATGTGCCATCAAGTTGTTACCGACTCTTAGCGATAGATTTTCTCCATGGCGATCCATCCCTAACCTGTTCTTTCAGGTCTTCTAACAGCACATTTCTTAAATGGCATTCCTTAAAGGCTCAGAAAGGAAAACGATATGAAAGGGTTCTTAACAGCCAATGTGCAATTTTTTATTTATTTATTTATTTATTTATTTTTCAAATTTAGATACCGCCCATCTCACAAAAAGTGACTCTTGCATCTAATAATTGTTTAGTGTATCACACACACAAGAATCTTTTCTCTGATTAAGAGAGGAAAGCTTTTTGGAAAAAAGTTGGTTCCTTTGAATGGCCTTCATAAATCAATTTGCATGTTTGGCATCAATTTGTTTCATTTTTTTTCCCAAGTTTTTCTCTTTTTCCTCAGCGCTTGATTTTTGATCTGCCCATTTTCCACCCGCTCGTGGATCCTGTCTCAGGTGAACTGGATGTGAAAAGAGCATTTGCCAAATGGAGGTCAGTGTGACGGGCCGGATCTAGAATGTCAGTATTGAGCAGAGAAGGGTGTACCTTTGAAGGCCCTAATGCAGCTTTCTCTTTCTCCTAAAGGCGAAATCATAACCACATATGGCAAATACTGATGTATGCGCGTAGAGTTTTCTACAAGATTGACACAAGCAGCCCTCTTAATCCTGAATCTGCTGTGCTGTAAGTTATTTTTTTGAGGGGAGAGGAATGGAAGAACCCTCTTTGAAAGTTGCATTTGAGTATAATTTGTCTTATTATATGTGCATGCCTTAGGCCAAATGTCACTGATTTTCATGTATGCTTTAGTTCCAAAATTACTTTCACTAACTCTTTCTTGGAATTTGTAGATAAACTGCCTTTCTAGGTAAATCTGTTTATTATGAATCGAGTATTTTGTGTCTGCCTGAAATGTACTGTGCCCTCAAATATAGCAACCATCTTGCGGTTTGATAAAAAGACTTAGGTTCTCCAGCTCTTGCACAGGACAAGTTTTGTTGCTCCTCCCTGTCCTGTGCCCCCCATCTAGTTGTTGCTGCTCCTCAACTCTCAGTAGCTCCTGGAAGTTGGTAAATAGTGAAGGATGCTGGGAATAGTGAAGGATGTTCAGCAACATAGGAAATTAGGGGAATGTATCCTATAAGAGATGTGATACGTTAATGGAAATAACTACCAATACAGTTCTAGTTATCTTGTAAAACTGGTGTTTCGGATTTCTGGGCATTTCTTTATATAAAACAAATTTTGTGGCAGGTAAAATGCGCAATAAATCTTTTTTTTTTTTTTTAACATTTCAAGACATTTCATAGAATGCTTTCATTCTTTCCAAAAGAGTTCTAAGATGTATTATCTTTCTCTTTCTCTTCTTAGGTATGAAAAGGATATTCAACTCTTCAAGAGTAAAGTGGTTGACAGTGTAAAATTATGCAGCAGTCATTTATTTGATCCACCCAAGATAGAAGACCCCTATGCAATTAGGTACCTTAATATAGTTATTAAGCCACATAATGCAGTTTGGACTAAGTACAGGTTGTCCTCATTTAGCAACTGGCTTAGAGACTGTTCATAGTTATGACAGTGATGAAATAGTAATGTTGTGTATAGCCCTCACATTTACAACCTTCACAGGTCTGTAAAGCAAATGAAAGCTGAACTAAGATTGTAAACACAGTCAAGGTTTCACTTAGTGGCTGGTTTGCTTAATGACCAAATTGCTTGTCCCAGTTGTGGTTGCTAAACGAGGACTACCTGTATTTTTTTTAATCACATATAGATTTACCATGAAACTATTTCATTGCAAGTGTATCATTTAATGTCTTTTAATTCTTAAAAATATGTAAATGTTCAGTAGATGTGGTTAGGGAAGTGGTTATTAATTTTCATATTTTACCTCTTGTGGGCTACTGTACTTCCATTAAATCGATCTTCTGTCTTTAGTTTTGGAAACTTGAAGCATTGGTGGCATTTTGCTTGTGTCCTGCAGCTTTTCTCCCTGGAATCCAGCTATACACAATGAAGTTAGAGAGAAGATGTTGACTCAGAAGGTATGCAAGAAGGACCTATTTTATTTTATAGAAATTGTAAAAATTAATGGGGAGAAAAAAGTTCTGTTGCATTGAAAGAAACAGAGGCAAGCTGAAAGGTGCCAAGCAGAAAATCACTTATATAAGAGAGGAGTAACCTCCACTGTTGACCTAAATAGAATTTGAATTTTTTACTCCCAGGTTTTATATACTCAACAGCTTAACGTGAGGTGTATATGTTGGCCTAACACCAAAGGTGTCTAGGTTTTAAAAAGGGCAGACAGACCAAAGATTATCTGTCCTATCCTGTATCTAGACTCTGCTTAAGACAGCTGCTATATTAAAAAAAAAAAAACACGTTTGAGTCCATATCAAGCTTAGCAAGTGCAAAAAATATTTGCTTTTATCATAGTTATTGTCCTTTGGCCCCAGCCAAAAGTATGTTTAACTTGGTTTCAAATACAAAGAATCAAAGCTTTGAAATTTAGTCTAGTAACTGGTTGAGTATAGCAGGTGGAAAATTTCAGCTGTTGTATAATTTAGTTCTAATATCTCTTGGTTCTAAAAGTCTCATACGGCGGCGTTGAGTACCTACCAAGTGCATTTGTAATGGAGGCATCTTTTTGATGCCAGTGTGCAGAGTCAGTAGTATTTAATGAACATTAGTACTTTCCTCTTTCTTTGCATCTCTTCCCACCCAGCCTCCCCACATCCTTTGTACGGCAGACTCTGTAGGACTAGTGTTATGAATGTTGCAAGTGGATTTACTAGGGACCATAGAACTACTTAACCTTGTGGCTGCTGTTTGTTGTTGACGCCTTGCAAATAAGAACAAGAGCCGTCATCTCCACAAATCTTCTCTGGGAAGTAGTGGAGATTGTGGCTTGCAGGACAAATATTAGCGATGGGATATGGAGTGCATTTGAAGGACACTTCATCCTAGAACTGGGATTGGACCCAAGCTTGCTCCTTGTTTTCTGATGCCTGTGCTATCCATGACCCTGTTCCTGATGCCAAACTCCTTTTAATCTCTGCTTGGGGCAGATGACATGTCAAGATACTGTGATTTTGTGTGCTGCTTACTTTCTGTCTTGCCGGAAGTGGATTTGGGCTGATGTAGCATGTTGCACTAATTTCTTCCATGTCCACCTCCCGCTTTCTCAAATAAGCTACTGTAATCCGTCTGGTTTTAATGTAAAGACAATTAATGTTCTTGTTTATCATCATTGCTAGGGTTACATGTATGTGTTTAGAATTCTGGAATTCTTTCTGGGGCAGGGAGTGAGTTCCTTTTCTTCGAAGCTCTTGGCAGAGCTTATTTTGCCCTCAAAGGCCTGATCCTAATCTGTTCCCTGTTCAGACTGGTGGATGATCATATTATGACCAGGCCCAATTCAGGAACTTAGGCTTCGTCTTCTTATTGGAGTTGCCTGGAGAGAGTTGTTCTTCCCTGGAACCCATAAGTTATCCACGGTTAGCCTTGCTGGCTGTGGCTTTGTGTCTTTTCCTTAAGATAGGACCTCGCAGAGATGAAGAGCCCCTTCCTATGTCCTTGGCATATGGGGTGGGAGAGGAGATAGATGCTGTACAAAATTAGTATCCTGCTTGAACAGAGTTGGTACACTTAGGGCGAACCTGCCATGGGGAAAACACAATCCCTGCAGGATAGTAGACTATAGATATCAGAGTAGCAATACCCACCCCTAGGCATTCATTTATTCTGGGATGTCATGTGAAGTTTTATAAGTTGCTATCCCTCCTGAGAAAAACAAGCTGCTGAGGCAGAGTAATATTCAAGAGGCAACCCTTCTCCAACAGCAAGAGCGCCGAGTGGCAGAGATTTATCTATTGGTAGACCATTTGGATGTCGTAGGTGTACTTAGACCAGTGTTGTCCAAACTTGGCCACTTTAAGATGAGTGGACTTCAACTCCCAGAATCCCCCAACCAGCATGGCTGGCGGGGAAACTCTGGGAGTTGAAGTCCACTCATCTTAAAGTGGCCAAGTTTGGACAACACTGACTTAGACAATCAGTGACCTATCAGGTGTTGAAATGACCCTTAATAGACGACCTACCTTGCTCTTTGCTGGCTGTGCAGCTAATTTTGTTTCGGGCAGGAGGCGGCTTTCGTTCTGCGTGCAGGTAGACATCTTTACACAGTGACTAGTACTGAACAGTACAGACGGAGGCCTATGGAAAGCACATGGCTGCACGTTATTTAAACCGTTTCCTTTGTATTTTCACACTGAAGCTGCAGAGAGCTTAAAGTATTTAACTCCTTTTAGGACCAGCAGCGTTGTGGATGGTTCAGCTGCGTGGAGATGGGCATGTCTCCTTTCAGGGGTATGTTTTTTTTAGAAGGCCAAAGAATGGAGAAAGGATGCTTGCCAAAACAACAAAATGACTAAATTTACAACGAAAGCATTTTTTTTTCTTCCTAGAAGAAAGGAGATGATCAACAATGTAAGAATATGCAAGTATCTGGCCTGTCGTGGGTGAAACCGGGCTCTGTTCAACCCTTCAGCAAAGACGACAAGACTCTTCCCACCTAGCCCCTGCAAACAATGATGCACTCAACACTTTCTACGGGAAGAGGGAATGTAGCAGAGCCGAACAGCGAAACTGTGGTTTCCCTTCTTGACTTTGGATTAATAGAGTAAATGCTAGCCATGACTAAAGCAATCCTATTCAGTGTGATTGCTTGGACTCTTCTTGATGTTTTACACACGTTTTAATTGCAGCCTGGAAGTAGGTCTTAAAGATTGGGCTTCTGTAAGGAAGTCCATGGTGTGTGGGTAATACTTCAGGATTCAAATATACCTTGAGGTTCTTGATGGGTTCCTTTTTAAAGCTTTTTTAATGTAAAGAGCAGGCCAGAAAAACTCATTCCAGAGATAATCTGTGTTTGTGTAAACTAATACAGCAGAGTAAAATACTATATTTAAAACTTTTAAATGCATTGGTTTCTATTGTAAATATATTAGGATATGGAATTTGTAAATACTTGGTTCCGATTCTTTCTAGCCCTTTTAGGGGCAGAAAGGCTGAGACTGATTATGTATGATGTGTACCTATTTTTTCTTTTCTCCTTTACAGATGTTGCCACTACTGGCTGCTTCTAACATAACTTGTTCCATAATCTTTAGGCTACAACCAAATTGCCTGCAAGAATCATATATGAGGAAAGATTTTACTGCAAAGACTGTCAAGAGAATAAGTACAGAACTCTTTCATTGTGATAGTTGCATGCATCTTAAATCAATAACCGTAAGATGTGTCAAAGTAATATTAGAGGCAGCCTTAAATAGTACATTAGTCAGGAAAGTTTTTTTTAATGGAAGAAATTCAAAATCCCTTAGAGTTCTTGGTTTTAATAAAATCTTAAAGAGAACCTAGCATAGGTTGACTTAGGAATCATGCTTGAGATGGCTTGACTAATGTGTTAATAGTGACATCTTAAAAAAAAATAAAGACCAGTCATGGTAGAAAGTCCATGTTGTAGTTGCCTTCTTTGGATAAAATATTTGCAAATTAGGTATGAGTTCTTTGGAATTCCAATTTGCTGATCATAGTAAAACCTCAACTTAACAGACCATTTAAGGGAAAAGGGTTCCTGTTACTACTGAATATCTACTAAATCAGGAAGTGCGTCATTTGTATAACTGTTATGAATAGGTAAATTTAAGTGCATCTTGACTACTTCGGACACAACAGACTTATCTCAGAAGATGACTGGATGGAAATTTTGTCTATTGAATCCAAAGCCTACTAAATGAGGGGAAGGTGTTAAGATGTTTAACCATGGCTTAGTCTAAGGGGCACAGAATTTTTTTTTTTCTTTCTCCTGTTGGGAAGGCCACGATAGCAAGAGGCAGATCTGCGGATAGTGCCTGGTGGAAAGCTGAACGAGCTGGGGGTTTGAAATTAGACCTGGAGCCAAACAGGCAAAGCAAGGCAGTCTGAGACCTTTTTTTTTTTTTTCTTTGCTTTGGTTTTGTTTGTAAAACTTCACTTATTGATCACACAAAACCTGCCCTATTTTATCACCATGACTGTCATTTAGCCAGATTCAGTTCAGGCCCTTACCCAACATTGTAAAGCACAGCACTAGCGGTTAACCGTAAGTCCTTTCCAACAGCATTGAGATTCATAACGAAAATTATGGAGGAAAATTTCCATCTTGTCTGTGGCCCCAAAAAAGTACCAAAGCACTTTTTAAAATCTCACCAGATGCAGGGAAGCAGTTTTATTCTATACTGACCTATGCTGAAACCTGTTGCTCCAATTCTGGGAGTTGCTCTTCTGGTGCACGTACGTGTGTGCGTGTGGTGAGCAAGGCCCTTTCTTGTTGCCCTAGGCTGTAGCAAACCACCTCCCTCTGGCCCTCTGGGTTGCTTCCTCCTCCCTTTTTACACTTCCTGAAATCAGCCAAGAGCAACATCACCTTCTTCTGGAGCAGAGCAGACTGCATCAGTCGAGGGAAATAGCCTGCAGGGCTGGCTGTTTCCAGGAAATACCACTGTGGGCTGCAAAATATGACTTACAAGGGTGGCATGTAGCCCATAGATTGCAAGTTGGAGACTCCGGCCTAAAGTGTTCAGCTATAACTGAGCCCACACGGGTATCTTAATCTGGAGTAAATTTTAGCTCATAAATCCTCATGGACTGACAGTGGAAGATCTAGGTATGGAGTAAGATGACGACCACGGACATCAACATTGGCTATTCTTAAGCAGTAACCAAGTTTCCAAAACTACAATGGTAAATACTGCCTCCATTTATCCCTTTCCTTCATATACAGAAGAGGCGCTGGAAAAAATGAAGATCAATTTTACTACTCCAAGTTACTTTCCACTTTCCACTCTCAGACAAGAGAGAATAGGATTACTGTTTTTTTGCAAACATTCCTTCATCAGAAGTGAATGGTAAACCAGCTAGCCAAGAAATCCATGCATCACTAAGGTGTGCGTTGGTAGAAGTTTCAGAAACCAGCAGCAGGTCTGCCTGTCCCTGCCTTTTGATTTATGTCCAGCTGATGATCTCATAAAGCTAAAAGCCAAAATCCCTGTTCAGTTGTCAACGTTCAGATTCTCTTAGAGCGATTTTAAGAGTATCACAGATCTGCTGTAAATGGAATCCGGGACATAAAGCAATACACAATACTGGCAGGAGTGAATGTGATCCTATCAATCTTCAAGGTGACTATCCAACTGCCTGTACACCATTTTTCACTTCTCTGTCTACTCATCTGATCTTTTATGGGAAAAATGGAACAGCAAGCTTTACCTAGCATGTACTGGAGAAACAACATGGAAGCCTGCAGTGCCAGTGGTGGAGCACATTCTTTGCATGCAGACAGTCTCAGGTTTAATCCACAGCAACCCTAAGGAGGCTAAGAAATGCTTCTGTCGGGTTCTAGGGACCACTGCCATCCCAAGTAGTTAGGGTTAGGCTAGATGAAGCAGTGTGGCCTGTTCAATAAGAACAGATTTTGATGTTCTCCATCATCCTGGACACCCATTTATAGCAGTTAACCACTGCAAAGGATCAGACAGCTGCACTGATATCCAGGACGGGCCAATCTTTTCCTCATTTTGAGAAGGATCAGTAGGAAGACACAACCAGCGGCTATTAGAAAGCTGAGAAACAGGAAAGGCTAAGTCATATCTTAAATATGCATACATGACAGTTCAGTATCACTTCTATGCACTTCCAGAATAAATACAATTCAAGCAATTTAACACAGCTTTCATCTTAGGGTTTGCTATTTAAAATATATATATATTTTTCAAAAGTGCCATTGCCAAGGTAGCAAAACTCTAATTTGCATTTCAAAAAGTTTTAGAGCTGGTGAAGTGCTACCTGCTGATAGGAGCTTACTTGAAACATTGCACAGCTAAAATACATTGAAAGTGTAGTATATATACATAATATCCCCATATTACCTGAAGGGCACAGAAGGAAAGGAAACTTAAGGAGAGAGAAAACTTAATCCTCCCCCCACCAATTTCAATTTCTGGTCTGTCTCCAGTGTGCTTTAACTACTGCCTGACAAGAGTGCTGGAATCTTCACTCCTAATTAAAAAGGAGGTTCACAGCAGTTCCACACTGGGTCAAATGATCAGTCACAACACTGATTCCATCATTGCTGACTGCTTCATTTCCAAATGTGTTTTTAAAATGCTGCAGATTCTAAACATGACACCATACGATATCAAATAGCTAAAAAAAAAACGGGCTAGTGTAAAAATGCTAGTCTTCCAGTTCCTACTGAGCTAAAATCAATCCCTTCTACCAAATAAATTAAAAATGATGTAAACTGCATCTGTCAATGCTTCATGGTGTGAATGCTTCAATGCTCCAAACAAGGCTGGTGTGACCACCTGCTGCAGTGTGATGGGAGGAAGTAACTGTTCTTCTCAACCACTTCAGATTCTTCTTTAGTAGAAGATGTCAGTGGTACACACAGAAGACTCTTCTTTGGATGTCAGGAGTACCACACTCTGGGAAAAGGTTAAAAAAATACTTCATTTCTCCCCCGAAAGTGCCTTAAAGATGTGAAAGTCACAGCTTCTGTTGCTGCTGGTCAAACATTAAGACGGCCCAATAGCCGTAAAAAACGTTGGTTGGTCTCTGAAATCAGTGGGAACCCCTGTCGTTTGCCACATCTTGCAACCTTCTCAGGAGGGCCGTGTGGTTTTCTGGGCACATGCGCTTGGCTGGTGATTCTGCCCCCTCCTCTAAGATTATGCCCCTCTTCTTTGTTGAGGTCTCACCAGTTCTAATCATGCTGTTAATCTCTTGAAGTCTCTGAAACATACAATGAGCAAGGAAAACTGAATACGCCATTTTTCCCCCTTCTGAAAATCCAGCTGCAAAAATTAATCTCTTTACTGCTCATTTAAACCATGCACATCCAGTTGTGTTGAACTTCAATTCTTGTAATTCCCCTAAGCAACATGGCTGAAGTTGCCTCAGTTCCCTACCCCATAAATTAATATTTCAAGATTACATCTCAAATCCCCCCACCCCCAAAGTTCAAATAATGCTTTTTTGTCTAAATCATTGCACTCTTTTTAAGAGATGCTCCAGCCAACATTCATTCTGACAAATAAAGTTTTGGAAAAAATATTAAATACTTGAATAATATTATTGAAAAATAAAACGTTACATAACAAGTTTGTATTTTATCTTCCAAATATTTTCTCTCTCTTGGTGATATAAATAATGACATTCATTGGCAATCCAATAAGGCATGAATATTTATGAAGAAAAAGATATACAGCTTGCTAAATCATGTAGTTATTGATTTATTAAAATGACATAACATTTCAAAATACTTCATGGCTAATGGCACCATTTGGAGATCAAACGGCAGGGCTTACCTTTGATGGACTGCTGCTGAAATAGTAGAATATTTTCTCACGCCGAGAGAGTGCACACTCATTTTTGTGAGGGGAAATGTAAATTGGGTGGTTTTGAGACAGCTGGATTCTGCGTGGAGAGCCACTTCTCACAAACGGATATGGAGACAAGGGAGGAACATCAGTCTGATGCAGAACAGCAATAAAAGGAACACACAGTCAATAAGCAAGCAGAGAAAAGAGGGTGTAATCCATTTGGCCATTTACCGTCACCACAACACATCCACAACACGGGCCTGACCAATTCAGGGATTCTATATAAGAATTGTGAAAAATTTTCAGAGTACTTGCTCAAAATTTAGCCTACAGGATACAAGAGTTCCCTGTGTCAAATATAAGGTGGTTCCATTTTGTTGTAAGGCAAAGGACTTGGCTTTATTTAAGATGTATTTGCAACAGGCTCAGACTTAAAACAGTGCCCTTCTTGTTACTTCCAGCTTCTGCCCAGATCACAAGTCAATATCCACACACGCACCCAAAAAAGGATTATGTTACATATATCGTGATGGCAGGACAATCTGAATAACTCCAGTTGTTAATCAGACAGGTAGTAGCTTAGCCGTTCCTGAGAAGGAAGGAAGGAAGAAAGGCTACTTACTCCATTGGCTGAAGAGTATTTCAAGGCAAAGTCTTTAATCCGGTCTGTGTAGACGTTGTTGTAAAACTGAATCAGATCTCCACGTTCCTCTTCCTCAGTATCACTGTTGGCTCCGGTCAGTCGCGTTGGAGTTGGAGGAGCGCTGCTCGGCTGTGGGACGGGCAGGGTGCTACTCGACCTCATAACTGGGCTGGAATCTCTGCTTGCTGCAAAGACACGTTGAAATGCACTGGGTCAGATATTTTTATGAAGCCGCTGTCTATGCCAACCCTTCTTTTGATCTACAGTCTTCTTTCTTAAAACTATCCTGCAGGTCTTTATCTTCTTTCTGCTAAGTCTTCATCAGCAATATAGGCAAGGCAAGCAAGGTCCCTCCTGCATGTGGCTCGTTAGAACCCAAAGATGCTTTTAGTTCCTAAAAACTCAATAAATGGTCCCATTTTCCAAATATACTTTTGCCATAACTTCTGTACACAGGAACTTGAAGTGCTTCGACTAAGCATTAAATCTACACGTATGACATCTTTGACCCCAGAACTATGTTACACATTTACCCACCTATGGACTCAAATGAGTAACTGCCAGAAAAGTGTGCAGGAGAGACTTCATCTTAGCTGTGTTTTGCAATGTTTTCCATGAATTCATGGAAGTTTTTTTTTTTTTTTTTTAAATAAGATTGGTAAGTTTTTAAAGAACAGGGAAAATACAGGATCTCGTCAAAAAAATAAAGATACACATTCACCTTAATGTCACCACGTGCATATTATGATTAAAAAGGCCTTTCATCTTTTTTTTTTTTTTTTAAATTAGTGTTAATGGTCACTTACTTCTATCCTTATTTTTCTCCACTGGGGAATTCTGTTGATTGTTTGTGTCACTGGTACCAGAATGCCTTCGTCTTCTGCCTTTAATCAATACATTACGGTACACCTTAAAAAAGGCAAAATTATTTCAGAAAAAAAAATGGCCTTGCCTCATATAAAGCAGCTTTCAGCGGGAGGGTTATCCTTGCGTTACTTTTTAAAGACATCTCCAAGCATGCCCAGATACATGGAACTACTGCAAGCATATGCTTCACCCATCTGAAATGCAGAGGGAAGCGTTATTGGAGAGTGATGCCTGCATTTCTGCATGCATTTTATTATGGTTTTATGGAAGGCTGGTTTCTCATGGGGTATGACTGAACGTTATCTGACCTGATTGAGTAAAATTCTGTGCTAATCTTGAACGCTATGCCAATATATGGACTTTTCCCCTCAAAGCTAAAGTATTTGAACTGAAACAGTTGACCGAAGGAAAAAACCCGAGATGGCAACTGAATGGAGCATAAAGACTGGTTTCAAAGAAAACGCTCTTACGTGGCTTTTAGCTTGTGGCTGCATTCGGTAGCAGCGCATGATGTTCTGAAACGATGTGTCTTCTTTTGTAACCTAGAATACAAGGTATCCATTAGCTGACAAATATTACCACTTTAATTAGCATTAGATATTTTTATCTTCCATGTTTTTTATTTATTTATACACACACACACATATAATACTTGTGAAATTTTACCTTTGCTATTACATAAATAGCACACATTAACAGCTGGTCTAAATGTCGGTCCATCATGAGCTCCGAGCATTGTACCAGTGAAAACTCAAAACAGGTCCAGATTTTCTTCCTCAGCTCATCTGAAATATCCAGTTTGATGCAGAGATCCCGCAGACGAACGCTTGCTAAATAAAATACCTATTGAAGCCAGAAAACCCCATCAGAGCTAGCAGGCAACTATTTATTCACAGAATGAAACTTCTCACATCTGAATGAAAAAGCAAATTATGAAAACGCTTCACAGAAGCTCAGCCCTCAGGGAGAGACAGGGAGATCTGTTTTCCTAGCAAAACCTGCAGCACAGGGACCTATCCTTTTCCAGGCTAGATGTACCTTTCTAAAGAAGAGAGAGAGCGAGCCAGCCTTCCGGGACCTGCTGCCACCACTGCTGATTTGCTGTTTTGGCCGTCGTTCTCCAGGATGGCCAATCTGCTGGAACTGGCCTTGCAATTGAAGAGTTGTGCCAGCCATTTGTGGAGAACTCAGCGTCCCAGCAAGGGTCTGAGCACTGAGAGGTGGAATGGAACTAGGCAGCGATTGAGCCTGTCCACCAACGTTGACCTGGACTGGAATGAACGTTATGCCACCATTTTCATTGGCAATGCCTGTCAAAAGAAGTGGGGAAAAATAATCATGCTGCAAAGGAACAGGTTAGCTGATTGGTGCTTCCCCCCCTCACCACCCCCTTTTGGACAGGAAAAATAATTATTTTAAGCTGGAAGATTACATGTTAGGGTGAGCCCTCCTTAGCTTAGCCACCAGTTCAATGTCCCATGGTTTAAGGAAGCATTATTTCTCACCCATGCATTTATCCTCCTCACCTTGTACAGGTATGGTAACTGTCTGCCCGTTGTTTGCAGTAACTGTGGCAGTTGCCACTGTTACTAAAGTCTGCCCAGGCACTGGAGTGACGGGAATGGTTTCGGAGGAGACGTTCTGAACAGGCACCGTACTGATCACGGGCTGCTGAGAGACTCTCACGGGCGTCCGAGCGGCCTCAGCCGGGGTGTCATTATCAACAAACAGCCTTCTTCTGGTAGGGTTGCTGGTTGGGGAGCTATACCGTTCGTAAAGGGTGGCTGGAGAAAAGGAAATGCCTGCAGATATTACAAAGGGAAGGGAGGAAGAAAATCACACGCAATATAACTGTGGCCTGTGAAAAGAAATTAAGGGCAAACGAAGGGCTTATTTACACTGAAGGTATCCATATAAATCCCTGAGCCCCACCAGCAGGGGGCTCCTTAGACACAGTGGGCTCAGGAGGCAGATCAGAGCAGCTGTGCGACAGTTCGTGATTGTCACCTCCACACAAACTGACAAGGGTTGGACTTATGGCTCTGCTAGATTATTTTTCTGCTGACTAGGAAGAGAAGGAAAGGAAGAATACGTGGACGTGTCACAGGAGGAAGACAGTAAATGGAATATCTCTAAGTACTTTCTTGAGGCTTACTGCCACTTTCAAACTTAGTTCAGATTCCACAAACTCAAAAAGAGAGTTTGTTGTTTTATTAATAATATATATGTTCTCAAAACTTGTTATTTTAAACAGATGTCTGAAATGTTTTTCATGCTTTGGAATTCAACCTTCAGAGTTTGCCATTTCTGCTCAACCTTTTACCTTCTGCAAATTTGGAAAGGCTTACCCTTTCCCTGTGTTCCAGTTTCAGCACGAACTTCGTTTAATCTCCTTGGAGTTAAAGGAGAACCAGCCACGCTGTTCCCATTTGATCTTTCAAAATACTGAGGTGGCATTACCTAAAAACACAAAATATTTCATCACTTTAATATTTGGACACTGCTACCTAACAATTCCAATTGTTCCAAGTCTTTCAGGTGCATTAACTCCTGAGAAAATTTCTACTAAAAATCTTTGCACAAGTTACAAAGAAGTAAAAAGAAAAGAGAAAGAGAAAGAGAGAGAGGGAGGGAGGGAGGGGCCTTGTTGTTTACCTCTTCACAGGTAGGAACTTTATTTTCATTTTCTTTTATTTTGTCCCAGAGTGGAGATTCCATTTTCCATGCCAGACTCTCTAATATCTGTTCTTCAATGTGATTGAGATGTTTTACCACCTCTCTGCAAAGGCCATCTTCTGCTCTGATCAGGATCTCTATTACCTGCAATTTGCAATATAGGAATATACCACTCTGTGATTGTTTCCATTGTCTGTGCATTTAATAGCAATCATGTTAACTCATTAGCGCACTCAACCCAAAGGATTTACCTTATAAAAGTGGAAGGCAGGAACATCAAATACATCAGTGATGAATGGAAAACTGTCAGCTGCCTTGTAAGAGTAAATAATTATTTCAAGGCAGCAGGCCATGAGAGACTTGTGAAAGACATCATGCTCCAGGATTGCCTAGAATAAAAACAAATAGACAGAGGTTTGGTATAAAAATCAGGTATTTCTTGCTTGATAACACTGTCTTGTGCCCAAATGGCCAACAACAGATAAGTCTTTTTAAAATGCACATACAATGCTATCTGTCCACTAAGAAACAGATACAAAGTGGACTGAAGTGGAAGGGCTCACTGAAACGGCTTAGAAAAACATCTTGATTACATGTGCTGGTCTCCTAAGCCTTGTGATGATAGATAAGGCCCAGATGGCTTACTCTAGGTATACGGACTACACCCTATGTACACTGTGCACATAGCCTTCCCAGGCCACCTCAATTAAAGAAAGGAACAGATCTGCGTGTACTAATTCAGTTGTTTTTGGACAGTGGAACCATCAGAAAATGTGTCTGCCTGCACGACCTATTTGGCCATGTGCTCTTTCAGTACTTTTGTAATAGAAAGGCAGGCAGTGTCTCCTGGACTATGTTTGGTATAGTCAGATGTTTTAATCTAGCTGATTTTTTTCTGTTACAAGATAACACGATAGATTAGGCAATGTGCATCTGGATGTCAGGACTGTAGCAGGCCTTAAATTATGTGAATACTTGTACTCCATTGGCGGGGAATGAACACCTGTAACAGAAATAACTTAATTTCATGTCCACAACAATGTGCTTTAACTGGAGTTCAATACTGACTGTATTCATAAAAAGTGTAGCCACGGTTGGTTAAATCACAGTGGCACTCTTCATATTATGACTGTATAAAACTATCATGTTAGATGACTTGCCTGTGGAAAGCAGTGATTAAACTGAAGGCTGAATGTCTTACATCAGAATAGTAAGTATCAAACTCTGGCCTGTTTCACATTTTACCTCAGTGTTCTATGTTGCATTTTCCTATATATTCCATCAGTTTTTTTAACAGAACATTTACATAAATCACTGGACTATACTTACAGATAAGTCAGCATCTTCTAGTCTTTTCTTTTCTTGTTTTATGACAGATTCTAAAACCTTATAATAAAGGACCTCAGCAAGACGGAAGTGTTTTCCAACAAGATCTAAAATAATCGTATAATACAGAATAAGCACTGTTAATAAAAGTAATGTGAAAACCTTCAGGGTTTATTAACTGCCAGTAAAATAATCATTAAGGACACATAGAGATGTGCCTCACCCCCACCCCGAGAACTGGCTTCTTGATTTTAAACACGAATCATTTTAAAGTCTCTTGAAGTGAACATAAAATTAAGGACTAGCTTGTAGAGAAATAGAATTCCTGCTATACACTATACCTCATATATGTTAAGAAAGAAATAATAATAATTCTTATACCGTGCTTAGATGTAAGAATATACTAAATAAAAATGCTAACTAAATACTAAACTAAACTAAACTAAACTAAACTAAATACTTACAAAGTTTAATACTAAAGTCTTTTGGGAACATAAAACACAGTAAAAGTGCTTTTACAGATAGCACATCATATTCTTACCTTGGGAGAAACTCCCAGATTCTCTGCAAAATGGTGCCCTTTGTGAGTAAATTTCATACATTTCTTTTACTCTATTGGCAATTGACAGAGAAGGATCCCTTGAACATGTCCTATCAATGAACAAGTGAATAAAATAGATTTGCCATGTTTAAAAGAAAATGTCTGTGTGTGTATATAATTTTATACAGGAGGCTTTTAAAAAGAATGCTATTATTTTATCCAAGCATTTATCACAAAAAGAAACTGAAACTTGTGCTTAGTTTTGCAAGTTTACTTCATATTATGATGCATTGTTCACAAACTGATTAGTTATAACACACTGAGCATCAGCTAAAGAATAGACGCCACTTTTGTGGTTTAAAAAATGCATATAAAATCACATAGATTATGTACAGGTAGTCCTTTGCTTATGACTATTTGTTTAACGACTGCTCGAAGTTACAACAGCACTGAAGAAGTGAGTTATGACTAGTCCTTGCAGTTACAACCATCGCAGCATCCCTGGTCACGTGATCAAAATTTGGGCACTTGGCAATTGGCAAATATTTTCAACAGTTGCAGCATCCCAGGGTCACGTGATCACCCTTTGCGACCTTCCCAGGGGGCTTCTGACAAGAAAAATCAATGGGGGCAACCAGGTTCGCTTAATGACCACAGCAAAAAAGGTCGTCAAATCAGGCGCGACTCAATTAACGACCGCATCACTTAGTGATGGATGTTTCGGTCCCAGTTGTGGTTGTAAGTCAAGGACTACCTATAAGGAATTTTTAAAAGAGTGCCACTGCACCAACTAAATTAAGCCTGTGAAATTTCAGCCATTTGCCCAAATTTGAATTAGGCATCATATAACCACCAATTTGAGAACTACAAGTACTGACCTGAGAATTTGCTCCAGATTCTCACTAGGGGCATTCTTCAGGCCTGCCAACATTGTGTGAAGCCGTGTCAAGCAGTGTGTCGCTATGGAAATGGGGCTCATGTAAGGATCAGTATCCTTTATGTATTTCCGGCCAGTAAGAGGTGTTGATATTCTGAAAGATTTTGTCTAATCAAAAGATACAAAGATGAAAGACATTTCAAGAAAGTTACTGTACTTTCAACTAAAACTTGGATTTAGAAAATCACCTTAATCAACTCCAACAAGGCTTATCCCTGGTTATTCCTTCTTTGGACTGAAATCTGCCTCTTCTTCTAACCCATATATGGAGTCTCCCTACTAAGATATTTATACAGAACAATGCCCCTATAAAATGCACAAGAAAAAGAACAAGTACAGGGTCAGAGATAAACTGTTGGCATTTTCAGATCATCTGTGGGAGATGGGGCATTATGACTGCTTTAAAGAGACATGGAAATTCATTCACTAACCAATGTCTCTTAATCAGGATGCTACCATAAGCAAGACTGAGAAATACTTTAGGTCAGATATATGGTAAGCCAATTAAACTTTAAATCTTAAAAACGTACTATAAACATTAAATGAAATAACAGAATGTTTGTCAACAGATAAATGTCCCTCTTGGAATAAGTGAGCTTTTTCATTCTGTCCCCTTGGAACCTAGATTCTGTGTTTGGTGAGACTTTAAATAAGGCTGAGCACCAGAGAGCTAAACTCCAGAACAGACCATGTTTATACTCACTCGTTCAAAATGCTCCTGCAGATTATATTTCACTTGCACCCTTTCAGCTGGTTCCATGTCTGAAGCTGTATTTAAACATCTTCGCAAGGTTCCTATTTCCTCATCTGCATCTTCTCCAAGAAATATCCTCTCATCTAGATTTCCAACTGATAATATATATTCCTCATAGGCCTTGTTGATAGCTTTACTAGAGCGAAGAATGGAAGAAAGGCAAGTGCTGATCAAAGTATAAATGCTTGCAAACAATTGCCAAAAGCTTTTATAAGCCACAGACCCTGAACAAATACATCCGCTTATTCTTATTCTTCATAAGAAATGTTAATAAGGTCCTCAAAATAGTAAAAGAAGTAGCTTAAGCTAAAACTAAAATATTATATTGTATTTTAAACTTTTCACCCAACATTGTGAACCTATCAAAATGATCTACAAGGTTTTAATACTGCTTAAGAATTCCCCAGAGATTCTCTCTTGCAGATTATCTATGCTTACTTATTTATTCTAAACACTGGACATTCACCAGAACCCATTTCAATGTGCTTCTCTTGTTAATTTTGGTTTTGGTGCTTTCGAGTCAGTACTGACTCCTGGAGACTGCCTAGACTAGTCCCTGCAGTTTTTTTGGCAAGATTTCAGAAGTGGTTTGCCATTGTCTCCTTCCTAGGGCTAAGAGTGTATGACTGGTCCAAGGTCACCCAGCTGGCTTTGTGCCTAAGATGGGACTAGAACTCACGGTCTCCCGATTTCTAGCCTGATGCCTTCCCCACTACACCAAACTGGCTTTCCTTGTTAAATTTAGAGAAATCTAATTTTATTCCAGCTCCCCTAAAATTACACCCATCCAAAGCAGGGTAGATTGAATTGACTGGACATGTTCTCTTACCATTTAAGTTTTATTTTGAGTTTCTGACAAGATTGATTCAGCTTTATTAAAAAAAAACAAAACAACCCTATACAGGTCGCCCAGAAAAACTTCACATAAACTATTTATTGGTAGTCAGAGTCTCTAAAGTGACATAATCAACTGCAAAATTCTGTTGTTTCATAATAAAGACCCATTGGGCCTGGATAAACTATAGCACAGAGTGTAAGTCATTACTCTTTCAAATTTCTTTCTTTCTAATACAAGTCAGAGCAATGTAATTAGATTTTGGAGCCTGCAGTGTAGATTCAAAAGGGGAAAGAAGAGTACAGAATTCAATCTAGGTATTTCCTCAAGGATGGAAATAATGTTTCTGTTAAAAGTCAAGGATTATGTTAGGTTCTATTCTAGTAACTCCAAACACAGTGAACTTCAGATACCATCATACCACTGCCAGCATACCCATTGTCAAAATGTTGGATTGAGAATTTCACTAAAAGCCTGAAATGTATAATCCACTAAACATACTACTTTTTTTTGCCCCTGGCATGTACAGTGATATTGGGCTAAGTTATGAAACCCAACTTGAATGGCAAGAGACTGTGAGATATAGAAGGCATAGAATAGTGGATCCTTTGTACCCAGAAAATCCTGAAATTACCAGTACCATTGTTTTGCAGTACTCACAAGCTTTCTGCAAAGTTTCCAGGATCCAAAAAACCTGTCAGGTTCTCCTCTTTTCCCTTCAGAATCTACAAAAAAGGAACTCAAGTTAACTGCCCATAATGGAGCTGTAGCGATTCTGAAGAATAGCTAGAATTATTATCCAATTATATACCTTTTTCTCAAAAAGTTTTTTCACATATGGCTTCCAGAAATGTTCTTTTATGCCCTTGGCTTCCAAAACCAAACCATCATGCAAGGAGCACAGTTTTTCAATGATGCAAGGAGCTTCAGACAAGAGTTTAAAATCCTTACTATGAAAATCTTCAGGCAGTCCTTTATAATGGTTAAGCAGAAAGGGGACAAGAGAGAGAAGTAAAAACATTTTTCTACCCTCCTAAATATACAGATAAAAGAAAAACAACCAAACCACACACGACCAATTTCCTGTTGTAAGATCTGTTGTTCTTTTAAAACTATAAAACAGTATTCCTGCTCTTCATTTTTCATCAAGTCAGATTTGTTTTCTTTTAATTAAATCTGAATATGAATAATTAGTTTTCCCTTATGGCATACTGTGATTTTTCTATGGTAAACTCAAAAGAATAACTAGATATCACAATAAAGCAAATGGATGAACCCTTTATCACAATATTTATGCAGTATTTTGTTAACCACATTTAAGATTAATTAAAAATTCATCAATAGCATTCTTGGAGAGCAGCATAATAAAAAGATATTATGCAGTATTTTGATAACCACATTTAAGTTAATTAAAAAACTAATCAATAGCATTCTTGGAGAGCAGCATAATAAACAGATATTAAATTTACCCTTAAAACATGGATTCAGAATCTCCTTACGATTAGGGCACTGCAAAGAATTCCCATAGACTAGATCAAGGACACACAGTAAGAGATGGTAGGAATTTACCAAATCATCACTGATCATAGGGAAATTGCCTGTGAGAGTCAACAGGAAAACAGATTAAAGAATTCAGCGGAAATTAATTTTTTTACCTAAATCAATAAATTTGTCTACCACAGAAGCACAGCTTTTAACAATAGCCAGTATAAAAGTTTCAAATTATGAAATAAAATACTCATTTATGTTTATGTTGCTATTCTGGAAAACGATGGGTGCAATGAAGAATAATAAAGCGATAACCATTTCAAAATATTTAAACATGGAAATCCAGTTTTTAACAACCTACTAAAACAGCTTCGATAGTAAAGTAAAAAGTACATCCAGTCATTTTTTTAAAAAAGGCAGAGAGAATGGGGGCCAAACATAAATCCAAAGGCTTTTCACTCAATAATTTGGAAACAATATAGGAGAAAGTCCTTTTATTCTTTCAGATAGACTCTGTAAGGCATCATCTTCTCAAATGAGCTTTTCCTTCTTAATAATCAGACAGGACCCTAATGAAATAGGCAGGTCCTGTGATAACTAGGTTCCAAGCTATTCCATTTTAAAAACTAAAATCAAGTATGTAAATGCATTCTGAAATATTTCTATTTAGTTTAATAGCAAGTTGAATCCAATGTTAAGTTGAAACTAATTCATGTTTCATATTAATATTTTAAAAATCTAATGTTTGTTTAAATTAGTGTTTCTAACATCAGTTTCTACAAAATGCTCCTTAGCAAACAATCAGCGTAAGATAGTGCTTCAAGGAACGCTTTGGATAGGAGAGACAAAATTATGTTTGCCATTTTGAGCTGCCAGAGAAAAAGCAAGACATAGATGCAATGAAGAAATAGGCACGATCAACAGTATCTCTTTATAATTATTCCAAAGGTTAACACGGCAGATGAAATCTTGAGAACATACGTCTGCATAATCAACAGTATAAACCAATTAGTTTGCCATTTGTTTCAGAACTGTTGTAAAAAATACATTAAAATGCTAGGATGATGATTATGTTGAAATGCACAAATATTCTATTATGCACTGACTTTGATATAGAAATGATGGCACAGCAATAATAGAGTAAATTTGAACAAAGCCATATTCGGTAACAACTGTTTTCTTAAATCAAAAGTTAAACACGAGCAAGTAATGTTTCCAAGCTCCAAATGAAGGGTCTTTCACTTCTTAAATGAGTCTATTTCCATTCAGAATAAATAGTCAAACTAAATATCACAGCTATTTAATGATGGTTTCAAATACCAAGTATTCTAAATTTAGATGAGCTAGAGATAATGATCTGTTATTTAAAAGGGGAAAACAAGAATACAAAATTAAGAGCCGTGCTGCTGATAATCAGTTGACAGGATCTTAGCATTTGTCCTACCATGTACCTTCACGGGGAAAGCAGTCTGAATCAGAAGCACGACATGCAACTGCAGGTTTTCTATGCAGAAAAAGGAACCTGTGATGCTGTTCTTTAAGCTGGAGAGCCTATCACTCAAACAAGCCCAAACTTGCCCTTTGAAGTTTGGTTGCTATGATAAAGGGAGCAGAAACCACTTCCCCCAACTAAAAGAAACAAATCAAGCTTCTGCGTATCACATGTTGAGTTCCTGGGCTTACCACTAGCATAAGCCACTTTTCTCCTTTTAAGGCACTGCATATTTGTGGAGTGGGTCTTTCCTATTGTATTAACAGCAAAAAAGTCATTTCTATGCTTCTCACTGACAGAAACATCTACTATTAATTTTTTTTGGGGGTGTGTGTGTGTGTGTGTGCCTTCAAGTCAGTGTTTAGTCCTGGTGACTGCCTTAATACTGTTCAGCAGATGGGATTTCTTTCTTAATTGAAAGAAAGGATTTTTTCTGACTTTGCATTGATTTTTTTTTGTTTTAAGAAAATGCCACTTACTTTGAGGCTAATCCACCCAAGTCTATCAATTTGCTCTCAGTGATCCTGTATTTTTATTTATTTATTTATCTATACAATTGGAACATCATACTTTACTGGTAGGAACATTAACAAAACCCTATTTAACTTTTTTTAAACCTATTTAGATAAAAGGCTTGAATTGTAAAGAGAGGTTTTTTTGCTTAAAAGTTCTAGGAAACCGCTTTGCAGCGTATTCTGACATATTTCTTTTCTAATACTTACCACTATAAACTTAGGGAAAAAGTCCACAGAATACTTATTCTGCATATGAAGTGCAAAATTTGTCAGAATAACAATTTGCAACTGGTGTAAGCCTATTCTATAAAATTATAGAAACATTTTATACTGAAGTTCTGTGTTCATAATAAAAATAAAACCAAGATACCCTTTTAAGACTAACAGGATCTTTTATTAATTTGTCAAATCTATGTATCAATTCTAATCCAAAAGATGTCCTGCACCAATCTTTCTGCAAGCAAGCAAGCAAGAAGAACGGGCTGGTTGTCACGCAGCATCAGGGCAAATGCAATACTGTTCTTACACTCTAATCAAGGAAGGAACAAATTCTCACCTTTGGCATAAACAAAGAGGACCCAGCAAAACTGAAATACTTCAGAGACGGTGCAAGGTTGTCTCCTTTTTAGAAACGGAGCCATGAAAAAGAAACAAATGCATTATGTTTCGGTTATCTAATAAAATGTTTCAAAATGTTCTCCCCAAAAGAGGGTCAGATACATTCAGGCTGGACTATGAAAGTGGCACACACGGGCATTTCATTTCCCCTTTAAGCTGAGAGCCTGGAACCTTCAGGCTAAAAAAACAAAAATGAACTCTTTTTTTTTACTAAATACAGCAATGATTACTGCTCTTTTATTTACTAAATACAGCAATGATAATAGGCTGTAAATGAGCATATAATCATTTTATCAGTTACAAGCCTAATAATAGGATAATAGCAGAGTGATCAGTGGAAACACGAGCCAATACAGATTAACTCAGCAAGGACATTTCCTAAGAAAACAGTAATAAAGGAGACACAAACTATGAATTGCTCATACAGTACAAATACCCCAAATCATTTTGAAAGAAACTGTTTGATGTTGGGTAGAGCTGCAACAAGGCTTAAAATGGTAACTTTTAGAATACATCAAGAAAAAACAGGATTACTTTGGATACATCAGCCTCACATAGTAAATAAAGGCTGGGTTAAGAACCCATTCACACCTGAGGAACAAGAAATGACATCTTCTCGGGAAAAGAGTCCAAACTGAGGACACCAAATGGAGTGAAAATTAAAAAGGGGAGAGTTTAAGAATGTTTTTTTTCATTTTATGGAGAAAACGTAAAGAGTTGGCTGGCTGGCTGGCTGCTTCTATGTTTATAAGAACTGAACAACCCTCATACAGAACATTTATTTAACTTTGCTATACATTATTTGTGCTGTCATTCCTACTGTTTGAAATTGCAAATAAATAAGCATGCTACAGTGAAGTTACATCAACACTGGAATTACTTGGAGTAAATTAGGATGAGGGATCTTGAGCTTTATTAGTACATGGATGCTGCTGAACGATTCCTGTTGGCTTAGAGTTTCAGAAGCCAAAGAGAGCTCTTTTTGCCATTTCCTGCTGAAGCGGTGTCAATATTTGCATCTAATTTTGACACTGCACATTAGTGGAACCAGATTTATTGGCAGTGAGTGCACCCAATTTGTTGCTAACCTTGCTGAGTATCCTGCAATGGATATATTACAATGTTTCCATATGGCTGCATTGGATGACCGGCCTTACGTTACAGCGCAGGTAGCCAGGTTCTGTGCAGCGGCAATAACGATCCATCAACATCGGATAGGAAGCTAGCTGAAAGGTTCTGCAGTAATGGATTATAGTCAACCAGTATTTTAGTTTACATTAACAGGTGCCTTCAGAATGTGTTCCAAAAGTATGACAAATTTTATTAGAATTTGTAATATTTTATTATTGTTAGCTGATAGCTATTAGCTTAAACAAAGTCCATAGGCAGATTTTTACTTGTGTTGGTCAAAGAGCATATTAAACTTGATTATTAGATCTGCTAGTCCTTAACAGGACAAGCTCCTGCCATATAGATGTATTTTATATAAGTCCAGACACTATTAAACTCCATATAATTTTAGGTACTATGATTACATTTTAGATGTCATCAAATTTTTGTAATTTTAGATATTATTATATTTTAGGTATATTGTAGATACTATCTTACTTATATCTTAGACATGGACTGTTTCATCTGAATTCTACCTAT